ATCTTATAGCTAATGGTATAATTTTAAACAAAACTAATATTAAAGTTTCAATAAAATTATTTACTTGTGATGCACCTGCAAAATCTTATGTGTTAAAAGTTAAAAGCCATGCAGGATTTTCTTCATATACTCGATGCACCATTGAAGGAGAGTACATTAATAATAGAGTTGCATTTCCTTATTTAGAAAATCAGTCAACAAAAAGAACACATGAACGCTATCTTCAAATGTTTGATGAAGATAACCATATTTCTAATCATGTTTCCATTTTAACACAAATTGATGGATTTAATTCTGTTGATATGTTTAGCATTGATTATATGCATCTTGTATGTCTTGGTGTTACTAAGAAGCTTATGTTTCTTTGGTTTAGTAAAGGTCCGTTAAATGTTCGTATAAGATCTAGAAAAACTCATGAGGTTTCATCAAATTTATTAAATTTAAATTCTTATATTACCACAGACTTTTCTAGAAAGTCAAGAAGTATATTTGAAATGCGCAGATGGAAAGCAACAGAGTTTCGTTTATTTCTACTATATACAGGCCCTATAGTTTTAAAAAATATAATAACAGATTAATGCTATACAAATTTTATGGCATTGAACATTGCCATGATAATTCTTGTCAGTCCAAATAATAATCATCTTTTGAATGCAAGGGAATTACTTTATTTTTTTGTAAGAAGTTTTCAAAAAATTTACGGTGTACATAATATATCGCATAACATCCATAATTTATTACATCTTAGTGATGATTATCAAAACTATGGGCCATTGGACAATTGTTCTGCCTTTTGTTTTGAAAATTATATGAAGGAGCTTAAATTATTTTTGAGAAAAAGTGAAAAACCTTTAGAACAAGTTATAAACCGTTATTATGAAAAATATAATTCAAAACAAGTAAATTATAGTCAGATAGATGTTTCAATTGATCAGCCAATATTAAAAAATGCTCATACAAATGGCCCACTTATTAAAAACATATTTGGGTCTCAATATCATACATTTTTATTCAAAAGCATATCATTAAAATTTAAAAAAAGAAAAAGACAGTTATTTTCTTACTACAAATAATTAAATTGTAAAATGTTTAAATATTATACAAAATGACATGGGAAATGTATTACTAATTGGGAAATATTTTAATTAATTAAATCCATTATTTGAAGATCCTATAAATTCATCAATATTACACATATTTGAAATAAAAACTTATCTAAAAGAATTAAGTATTGGTCAATGTCTGAAATTAAAAAAAAAAAATGATGGTATTACTACATAATGCAAAATTGACACACTCATCAGAATTAAAATTATATTTAAACTATTTACTGATTATTTATTTTGTATTATTTGTTTGTTTATATTATGTATATATGTGTAAATTTATTTGTGATAATATTGATGATTGTATAATTTAAAGTATTTATTAGTATATTAACACTTCAATTGCAGATGGCTGGTTGGGATATTGTTTTATTTAAAAATGATAATAGTGTAGAAGCTGTACCTTCAAGTTGGGTACGCAAAAATACTTGTGCATGGCCTAAAAATTCAAAATTTGTAAAAAAATATATAGAAAAACAAATAAAACCCAATCCCGATGATTTTATATTTTATTCAGCGAGAAAACTTGGAAATAAAACATATAGTATGTTTTATCTATCTAATAAAATGTAAAATTTAATTTTTTTTCAATAATACAATTTGTATATTTTAAATTGTTTACAGTTTCTTTTCTTGAAGCTAGAAATAAATTAACTAAAGCTACATATAAGTCAGAATTTTCAAGTACTGAAGAAGAAAATAATATGAAGCATGTAACGTCACAGTATTTTTTGTACCAATATTATTATAAATACAAACATACCTGTACCCATATTGCCACTAATAAGCGTACCTAATTAATACATTATTATGATTATCGCGCACTAATGCAGAAATTATCGCAGTATTATGCAATTAATGTTCCCCGTCCCCCCCTTCACCATGCAGTGTTCGTCGACGACGTGCCGCGGTTGTCCGCCGCCCGTCGCCTCCAGCGCTTTCGTCGCGTCCGCCGGTACGGCCCGCAGGCAATTATACCGTACACCCCAAAATATTGTAAAGTCCCGTAATATACCTACCCTGACCTTCCCCACTACGACATCAATTGGACAACACCGACCAGCGACCGGACGCCGTCGGCCAGCGGTCATCACTTTTTTTTTCTGACTGAACCAGACATCAACGTCTCAGCTTTTTACCGTTTCTTTTTCTTTTTGGCTCGCTCACCCTCGTGGTCGAACGTCCGACCGAAAAGACAAAGTCTTTTTTTATTGTTATTATTTTTTCATTTACGTCAACGCTGTAACGTCCGCCATGAGGGGCTAAACACTAACGCGGGCCCGATGTGGGAGAAGCCGCCGTCCTACCAGTGATTGACGCCGGTGGGCCATGTCGACCACGTGTATGTGTGTCGACGGTCACCCGACCAGCCTACCACAGCCGTCAATCAATCACATCAGCAACTCCAGTCATCAGCGTGGAGGTCACGTCAATTGTGTAATATATCTCTCCGAAAATCCATGTTCCCCCCAAAACCCTTATTATATTATTCTCTAATATGCATATTATTTAATAGGCCTGTTTCTTTTTTCTTTTTCTCTCTCCCGTATTTACCGTCCTTAGCGATATGCCGGACGGTAACCCGACGGTCGGCGAGGTAACATAATAAAATATCATCTTCACAGTCCGTCGAACCTCGCGGGCCGATCCGAAGATTCGTTGTTTCCTCATATTATATTATTCCTAATGTTTGTCAGGTGCCTCCCGGAATTATACAAAAACAGTATGTTCCCTTTTATTATTAAACTATTGTAATTCTGTGTGTGAGAGCCACATTAAATTATTAATTCCATTATGTTAAACATTAAATTATACCCACGTGATCACCCTAATATTCTATATTCTCATTATTTATTGATATTATTTTTTTTTTTTCTCCTTTAAATAAATCTTTGACGTTCATTCGTCACTGTTTGTATCAAAGCCTGTGAGTTCCAACGACTTGGCCCTTGGGTCATCACGCGGTGCGGCTCACAGGTCGTGAGTAAAGTGTTCCCCTTTACTCATGGGTGGTTTATTGGGACCGTAAAAATCCCGTACTCTCACAAGCATAAAAGGAAGATTAAATGTCCAAGTTTATCACCGAATGTATCCAATCACAAAAACAAAGCCAAAGATCAATGTAAACTTCATCTAAGTGACAGTTGTCCGCCTCGTTATATTCCCGTTAAAGGTATTTTTATCTAATTAAAAATATTGTTACGTACCGTGTTATTTTACACATATATATTATACGGAGAGGTGATGTGTATACCGATGGAATAACATATTCAAACAGTGTAGTATCGAACGGGTATGGCGAACACCTGCACATCGTGATATTAATATAATGAATAAGACATGATCACACGTCCTGGACTTCTCAGAAATGATGAGTAAACGATAGTGTTAACATTGTACTATTTAATATGACAATTAAGACTTGATCACACGTCTTGTAATTCTTAGAACCGATGAAATCGCAGGAAAGGCACACAACTGAATAATACATTTAATTTAGAGAGCTCCTTAGGGTCATCGGAAGTCACCACCTCCTCAGTCACCACTCTTGACGGTTAACCATATATAAGGGAGACCGGGGCAAGAGCTCAGCAGACGGTTAGGGATATTCGAGACGCTCAGAGGCAGGTCGTAACACCACTCACACCATCTTGTGCTTATAAAATTGTATTCTTGTACGAGTTAATTGTATTAAATAAAGACTTAATCTTTTAACTTGCAAACATTAGTATTTCTATTTTTACGTTGATATATGAATCGACGTTGACATAAGGGACGCAACAATATATACCTATATAAATATAAAATCCAAAGTGACTTATTATATATAGTGCTATGCATTTTACTTTAAGTACCTTTATTTTATTATTAATTTTACTTTCAAAAGTATTAATTTTTATATTTATAATACCTACACTGGTTGTGATATTTCCCTTTGGAATTTTTGTTATTTATTGTGTTTTAATTTGAACATGTTAGGTAATATAAATATAGTTATCTAATATACATTTGTTTTTACTGAGAAGTTTTTAATAACAAAGTTAAGGTTCCATCCAATGCAACAACAAGAATTTCTGATTCTAGTAGTGGAGATGATAATGATGATACTTCTAAAGATCCTACATTTTGTTTTAATGACAAAATTAATTGGAATGAATTACAAAGTACTTTTTTTATAGACTTATTAATATAATAATATAAGTAATTGCATATAACACTTACTGTTATCCTTATTTTTTAATTTTAGATGTTGATGTGTTAGAACAAGTTTTAGTTGATGATGAAATAGAAGAATTGTTAACATTAACTCCTAAGCTTACTCCAATTAAAAATCAATTGAAAATCAGTAATATTGGACATATAATAAATTCACCCATCGGTAAATGGTCAGTTGAAAAATGTGAAGATATTTCTTCCTGCAGAAATAAAAGTGGCAGTATGCTTGTAAAGAAACAGCTATTTATTGATAAAAATAAAGGAAACAAGTCAGGTATTAATATACAAAATATAAATTAAATTCAAAATAGATTTTTATATTTTATTACTATTTTTTAAGTTCCTGCTATTGAAAATGTAAACCTGAGCACTGCAGGAGATAATCGCTGTATTAACATGTCCACATCAGGTGACTTTTAAATTGTTTTATTAAAAAATGAAATGAACTGTTATAATTTTAATATTTTGAAATTGAATATATTAATATATTTTTCAGATTTTCAAACTTTTTTGATAAACACATTAACTCATATAAAATATGACATTAGTAGTTTAATTAATGTTAATCAAATAACTCAAGCAAATGTACAAATTTTAATGGATAATATTCAAACAAAATCATTATCTACTCCTATATCAGCAGATATGTTTGACATAGAATCATTTTTGCCAGTTACAAATCATCACGAACTCTTAGCTATTGAAAATAAAATTCAAGACTGATTTCAGAATGTCACTGGTAAGTATTATAATATTATAATTTATCATACATGGTTTATAACTAAAGAAAGAAATATTATTGTTTTTAGGTTAGTAAGTTGTCGTTATTAGTTGGAAATAAAGATTTGGGAAATAGTGTACGAAGAATAATGGCTAGAGTATTTGATGATCAAATTTTGACAAAATATTCATTATATGGCTTCAAGAAGAAATCACCATTTTCTAAATTGCTGATCTACCGTGTTATTATTGGTAAAAAAATTTTTATTTGTGACTGTTAAAAATTATATTAAGACCAAGTTTTGCGTTTTGGCTTCTTATTGGGATGATAATTTTATTGTATAAAGCTATTACTAGACCTCTAGCTAGACTAAATCTTCATATGAGACAAATCAAATTTTAAGGGGACAATAAAATGCATAACTATTTAACCATAACATACCACTACATTCATATATTTAATATTTTGTATGGGGTAACAACTATAATATGTCTATAGGGAACAATGCTACAGTCCTATATATTATATATTGCAGCATTTTTTAAATATAGTTTTTCATTTCAGATGCACTAAGAGCCCATATCAAGTATAAAATGCACACAGAAAAAGAAATTGATATACCTCTTGGAACCTGGCTTTCCCATGCCCCATTTAGAATTAAAGACAAGGCTAAAAAACAAGTGACTTTACATTCATCTCAAACTTATTCAGTTTAATTTTTATTGTTTATATTACCTAAGTGTATTATAATTTTTAATTTGTAAATAATTTTTACTTAAATAATAAAAAGGTTCATTGCATAATATTGTGTCAATATTTCTTTAGCTAGTGATTTTATAATAACTATTATAAAGTATAAATACAATAGTGCACAGATATTTGGAAAACAATTTCGGAGGGTCACGTGTAAAATATTTTCAAAGAAATGTTTGAGAGAAGGGGGGGAGGCGTACTTAATATCTTCTAATGTTATTATACTCATAGACACAAGGAGAGGGGGCAAGCTGTGGAAATTGCCCCTCCCCTGGCGTTTCAAAAATATTTTTTTAATTTAATGTTTTTAGATAAATTATTATTTAATATATAACACATCTTACATTACCTCCTCCTAAAAAAAATTCTGCAAGCGCTTATGATTATACCTATTACTTATTCTACTTATTCCCAACTGTGTATAAATATAATATAACATATTATGTATAAAGAAAAAATTTTTGCCAACAATATAAGTAAATTAAAAAAAATATTTAATACTCTTTAATATAACATTTTACAAACATTATGTATAATGTTATTAAACTAAATTAAAACAAACATTAAATCTGTGGCCAAAAAATTGTAGGATAACGTTATATTAACATTATTTAATCTATGACTAACTTTATTCAAACATTTTTTAGAACATTATTATTTTTTGCATAACTTTGTTTTAACTTATTTTAAATATGAATTTGCTGTGTGGGAGCTGTAATGTGGCGAATTGAAAAATCGAGCCAAAACGTAACAGAGCAGTTACAACTCGATATTAATCAGTGTGTAACATTTTCATTGCAAATTGATGAAAACACTGATGTGTCCGACACAGCTCAACTAATTGTTTTCATAAGAATGTTAATGAATGATTTTACATCAAAAGAAAAATTGCTTTGCATGATTTCGTTAAAAGGAAGAACCAGAGGTCTTGATATTTTTAATAGTTTTAAGGATATAGTAACTTTGATGAAATTGCCACTTTTCAAATTGGTGTCAATAAATTTCGATAGAGCAGCAGCAATGACAGGACACAATAATGGGTTTATTGCATTATGTAGACAGGATGATGATTTTCCTGACTTTCTGAGCTACCATTGTATTATTCATCAGCAAGTTTTAGCCAGCAAGAGGCTCAATACAAAAGACGTGATGGATACGACCTTCAAAATAGTAAATTCTATCCGAGGAAAACCTCTTCAAAGACGTCTATTTAAAATGCAAATCGAAAACAAGGAAGTAGATTTAATTTTGCTTACGGATGTAAGATGGCTAAGTAGAAGTAGATTTCTTCAAAGATTTCGTGAATTATTGGATGATATTGTTAAATTTTTGGAGGAAAGAGGTGATAGTTTTTCTGAAATGCGTGATGTTAATTGGCTTTGTGATTTAGCATTTTTGGCAGATTTCACGGGACATTTAAGTGATTTTAAGTTGCAAGGGAAAAACATAATAATCATTGATTTAATAAGCTGTATTTCGGCATTCAAGGCAAATGCATTGATTCTTATTAGAGATCTTGAGAAAAAAAACTTACAACGATTTCCAAACTTAGAAGACCATACTCGAAAATATCCCGACATTATTTTTGATTCGAAAAAGTATGTGAAAGAAATCAAAGCCGTTATTGATGATTTTGATGTAAGATTTAATGACTTCAAGAAACTTGAAGATGTGATTCCATTTATAGCACCACATAAAAATCGCATATTTGTAGCATCACCTTGTATTTCGAAAAACGTATTTCCACATCTGCTGACACACTACACCGACGAGCAATAGCCAGTAACTAATATTACTATAATATTATGTTAGCTTAATCGCATGTCCCAGAAATCAGATTATGATATATATATATATATATATTTATCTATAAGATAACGTTTATAATACGTCTATACGTCTGTCACGGAATTCCCTTTTATAAAATATTGGTTTATTCGATCGAATTAAATTTGTCTGGAACGTCGGCGATCGGGCAAAATCGGCATGCTTATCAAAATTTGAGTAAAATTTAAAATATTTTATTAAGTATTTATTAAATATGCACATTTTATGCAATTACTCCGAAATATGCAATTATTATGCATTTTTATGCAAATATGCAAAAATATGCAAAATAAAAAATTAACAATAGAATCTACGTTTTACGAAACGTCAAGATATTTAATCAGAATTATTATACGTCAAATATAGAAGAATATGCATTTGCATAAAAATCCGGGCCCTAATAATAAACAAAACACAATTGAAATAACAAACAAACAAAGAAAGAAATCGGTTCAAACGACAGGTGCGTAATTTAGCGTCAAGCACGAAAGCGTTAAGGCGTTTAATGCAGACATGTTAACACGTTACACATACATACCGGCGCCCGGCGGCATCGAACATCGGCCGCCGCCGCCGCCACTGGTAGAGCTGCAGTCGAACAACTACTAGGTGGGGGAGCCAGAACCGGCTCCGGACGAAAACTGGTCGCCGCTCAAGGCTGATCTCATTTGGAATAGACTGTAGTATTAAGATTTCTTGCTATGTGTTGCCTAATAAAGTCGGAGAATATTAATTAATTAACCTAACCTAACCTAGCGCCTTGTCCAGAGCTGGCAGGTGGATGGGGTATACCAGGGGCTGTGGCTCCACTTCTAGCTGATCCAGATTTCCATCGTCCTCAAGGTATTTATCTGCTTATTGGAGGTGGCTCGTTCTTTGATGTTTTGGGAACAAAAAAAATAGCACTAAATATAGGTTCAGTCACACTATATGAAAGTAGCTTCGGGTGGCTCGTAACAGGAGAACTCTCCAACCAGCATGCACCAACACTTTTCTTAATAGGTCATACGATAGAGGAAAATTGCAAAGTTCTCAGCAGCATTGAAGATGCAAGCTATGGCCGAGCATCCAAAGCGAATAAGAGATGTCAAGAAGAGCAAGAAACACTCCAACATTTTAAGCAACACACCATCCGTGATGAGGAGGGACGTTTTATCGTACGGCTTTCCTCCAAGCAAGCAATCAGTGAAATAGAGCAACATTACCTATGGCGACCGCACGCTTCTTAAACGTTGAGAAAAGATTACAACATGATGAGCATCTAAAGGCTGAGTACATACGGTTTATGAACGAATATATTGAAATGGGACACATGGTTCAAGTATTGGACGATTCGATTCAAATGCAGAAACCCTTTTATCTACCACACCATTCAGTAATAAAAGCATCAAGCTTAACTACAATGGTCCGAGCAGTTTTTGATGCCTCTGCCAAAAGTACATCTGGCGTATCTTTTAATGATGTCTTGAGATGTGGTCCAGTTGTTCAGCAAGATTTATTTTCAATTCTCATTCGCTTTCGCAAGCACCAATTTGTCTTGACTTCAGATATAGAAAAAATGTTTCGCCAAATAAAGGTAGCAAAAGAAGATTAGGACCTACTAAGAATTGTTTGGAGATCTAGCCCTGAAGAATTATTACGGTCGTATCAGCTAACTACAGTCATATATGTAACAACTCCTGCCTCATTCCTGTCAACCTACTGTCTTATAGCACTCGCATAAAGTGTTGAAAAGGAATTGCCAAAAGCTTCAAAGGTGATTGTCGAAGATTTTTACATGGACGATCTAATGACGGGAGCTGATACAGAGGATGACTGCTGTCGGTTGCAATTAGATGTTAGCTCAGTGCTAAACTCAGCAAAGTTACCGTTAAGGAAATGGTGTTCCAACTCCGAATTGGTTTTGCGAAACATATCCAAGTATGTTGACGATCTTTTGTTTGTATTAGATATAGGAGATGATAACACAGTCAAGTCACTCGGGTTGCAGTGGAAACCAGTCGTAGATCATTTTCAATATGACATTCTAGCAATGTCATCAGAAGGTGCGTTATCGAAAAGAGCTATACTCTCTGACCTAAACAAAATTTTCGATCCACTTGGGTTCCTGTCGCCAGTTAGAATCAAAAGAAAAATATTCTTACAACAGTATTGGTCTATGAAGATAGACTGGGATGCATGGCTTCCGGTAGATATTCAGCAAAGATGGATTCTTTTTTATGATGAGCTTGAACAGCTAAAGGAATTGTTCATTCTTAGAAAGGCTATTCCCGAGCGCACCGATATCATAGATGTACATAGATTTTGCGACGCCTCGGAGGAAGCATACGGAGCTTGTATTTACATTCCTACTCAGAACAGCGATGGAGAATGGTATTCCAGACTTCAATGCGCTTAAACTCGAGTGGCCCCACTAAAAGGAAGCACAATACCGCGCCTTGAGTTACCGACACCGGGAACGAGGAGCCCTGGGGACCTGTCTAATAAATGGCTAAAAGCCGGGGGAACGCGGCCCTCGGAGAAACTACCAACGTCCATCAGAAAATGGACGGAACATTTACGTGTTCGCTTAGGGAGACCGGCGAGAGGCTTCTCGAGCAACTGATCCCTGAGGATAGCGACGCAACGGAGACCGCAGGACAGGCAGAAATCCGTAGAGAGACCGGCGTTTATGTGGGCAGATTCAAGTCGGCATTACCTGGGCTTAGTCCGACGTTCGACGCGGTTGAACCGTGCGCGGTCGATGAGGTAAGAGATGTCATATGGCGGATGAAAACATGCAAGGCCCCGGGCCTGGACGGGATCACGGCAGGAATCTTGCGGCAAGCGTGGCCCGTCCTCAAAAACCAAATTACGTTTGCGTTCAATACCTCACTGGCTACGAGGACATTCCCGAGTCGGTGGAAGAACGCGGCGCTGGTCGTCATTAGGAAATCACCTGATAAGGACCCGACGGAGGATAGGTCATACCGACCCATTAGCTTACTCCCAGTTCTAGCTAAGGCACTGGAACACCTTATCGTGGCGAGAATCCGTAAAGATACGGACATCCATATGTCGGCCAGACAATTTGGTTTCACCAAGATCTTCCCCCCGGGACGGAGATAGTCGCATACGCGGACGATCTCGCGCTACT